CTCAGAAGGAGAAAGACATTACTCTTCCCCCTTCCCCTTTCTTCCTTCAGACCTGGAACGTAAACAGCAGATCCAAAAGACAGACTGCCATCTTGTGACCTTGAGAAGCCAAGCAGGAGACTGACAGCCTCATCCCAGGATGGCAGAGCTACCAGATGACAGTGGTGGGCTTTTTCAACCCTGGACACACAACAGTCAAGCCCTCAACTAGTTAAACTACTGGAGTAAAGTTCTCAGTCGTTCGTAACACAAATCCTAACTGATAACCACCAACCTGAAATAACAACTGCTGACATGATCGTGTTTTTCTTTCTGTCCTTTTCTCTATTGAGGTATAATTTTTACATACAAGAAGACAAAGTATCATACCTGAAATTATTTTATTTTTTAGTGCTTGTTTATTGTCTGTCTCCCCCCTATAGAAGATAAGCCCCACAAGAAGGATAGTGTAATCTCATTATGATTTTATTCTCTGTATCCAGAACAATGTCTGGCATGTCTAGATGTTCAATAAATGTTAGTTAAATCAATGAATTAATTAATGAGTGAATGAACATTTTAATGCGAGCCCTTCCCCTGGCCATGAAATTGTTTTCTGAAACCTTGAATTTTTTGCTGAATACAGCTCTCTCCCATGCATCTATCATACTTTACTTAACCAGTCACTTGCTGGTGGACATTTTTTAACGCTACTGTAAAAATACTCTTACATGCATTCCAGGCCTTATGCAATTATTTTTTACGATAAATGCCTAAAAAGGTTATGCATAATTTAAATCTCTTAGTACATATTTCCAAAATTGCCTTCCAAAGCAGTTTTTAAAACCAATTAACATTTCCACGAGAAATTTATGACAGTGTTTCTCTACACCTCCACCAACATTAGGCATTATTCATTTCTAATGTTTTTTCATTTTGGTACATGAACAGTTATGTCTCGCAGTTGTTTTAATATGCATTCCTGATCACTGGGGTCACAGGTTGTTCTTTCACCAGCTTGAGGCTTTTTGGCAGGTTTTTTCAGGCCCCAGGCTCCTGTGGGGGGATGGGGGGGGTGGAGGGGTGGCCTTGAAGCCTGCATCTGCCATCATCTACTGGAGGTATATGAACACAGACTGTGAAGGTGGGGTCCCCTTGGCCAGTGTTCAAGGCCTTCCAGGAATTGTGGGGGAGGAAAGCCAAAGGCTAGATCCCTGAGATTCCAGGACTGGAATCATGGAGCTGGGGCCTTTCTTTACTGGAAGCTGGGCCACTCCCCTGGTCCCCTGCTAAGGGCCACGGTGGGAAAGACATGTGTTCTGGTGTGAGACCCAGAGCCTGATGGTGGGAACTTGGGAAGCCACAGGTGGGGACAGCACTGCGCTTGGGGGCTGGCAAGGGCCAAGGTAAGCTGATGCCAGGCCTAGAGAGACCTAGTAGGCTGTTAAGGACTTCTGAGAAGCCTAAGCAGAGTTAGAAGAAGGAGAAAGGGGTAGGTATTCCAGGAAGCATAAGCAAAGGCACCAAGCAGGTTCAAGAATGAGGTGTGCTCATGCCCAGATCAGCCCTGTCTTCAGGACCACATAGCTAGCCACAGCCTGGAGCAGAGACGCCCCCATGCACATCCTCATGGCCACATTCTCCCTCAGTTGGTCACAAACCCAGAAAAGCGCCAGGCCACAGCCCAGGCCAGCCTACTCCCTAAGGAAGGCCATCATGGAGGTTGTTAAAACATCTCCTGCCCCTCACCCTGCAACCCTGCAACACAGCACTGTTACCCCATTTCACAGATGTGGAGATTGTGCACCAACTGAAGAGCATTGTCTAGTACCTCCAGGCTGCACAGGGATAGAGAAAGAGCCACAAGTGCCCCGAGGGTTGGGAGACTCCTGAAGGAGGAGCCCCGGGCCTGGCAGAGAGAGGGCCACCTCCCTGTTCCCGTGCCCACCATGCCAGACCAGAGGAGATGGACCCAGGGACTCAGTGCCAAGCTTCCCAGGCTGGACCTACTGTCCTGAGCGGGGGCAGCCATGGTGCAATGCTGCCCCCTGCCGGCGTCCAGGGAACAGGCCCAGCTGCAACTGCGATGAGGCCCCCAAGAGACAGGACCTGGCTCTCTGGGCTATATGGTTGCCTTGACCTGGGTGGGGATTGTTGGGGAAGCTGTGCTGGGCGGTAGCGAAGTCAGAAGCCAGAGAGATTCAGATCTCAGTGAAAATAACAATAACGGCCATCATTTACTATGAGCCAGGTACTGCTCTAATGCTTTACATATATTGTTAATTCATTTACTCCTAACTCACTTCTTAATAGGGGAGGCACACTAATTATCCCCGTTTTACAGAGGAGGAAACTGACATACTAGAAGGTTATGTAACTTGCTCAACTAAGAAGTGGCAGAGTGCCCCAACAAGGTCTCACTTTCTGCAATTTCTAGAAGCTAACCCGCACGTCTCAGCCACAGCTGCAGAAGAGCAGACAGGTGTCCTGTAGCCCCAATTACGAACCATTCTTTCCTTGGGCCACATGGAAGGACTGAGGCCCTGGATTTCACATGGGCCTGGGACTTCTCTGAGCCTTCCCACGGAGTTTAAAAGGCTGGAATCTCAGAAGACTCCAGAATTTAAGGGAATGACCCGAGTCATCCTTGTCCTAGGACACCCAAGATCCAGATGGAAAAGAGCCCTGTGGGCCTTTGTGAAGAACACCTGTGTGCAGTGTCTGTCCTCCCAGCCGCAGACAGCTCTGGCCCTCCTGTTCTCACCCTGATTACTGCAAAAGTTTCAAGCTCAGTCCTCTCCCAACCATATGTGAAATTATGACATCCTGCTTAAAACCCTTTACTACAACTCAACAACAACAAAACAAACAACTGGATTTAAAAATGGGCAAAGGATTTAAACAGATATTTCTTCAAAGAAGATATACAAATGCCCAGTAAAGATGTAAATAGATGCTCAACGTCTTTAGTTATTAGGGATATGCAAATCAAAATCATAATGAGGTACAACCTCACACCTACGAGGATCAAAATGTTATAAAAAAAAAAGTGTTGGTGAAGATGTGAAGAAATTGGAACTTTTGTGTACTATTGGTGGGAACGTAAAATGGTACAGCCACTATGGAAAACAGTATAGCATATTCTCAAAAAATTAAAAATAGTATTACCACACATGCAAAAATAAATTCTCTAACCCGTATGGTGATGGGTGTTAACTAGATTTACTGTTGTGATCATCTCGTAATATACACAAATATTAAACCATTATGTTGTACACCTGAAACTAATATAATGTTATATGTCAATTCTACCTCAATTTACAAAAAAACTAGCAATATATGGACTAAAAAAATTACATGTGGTCTAGCAATTCTGCTTCTGGGTATATACCCAAAATAGTTGAAAGCAGGATCTTAAAGAGATATTAGTATAGGCATCTTCACAGCATTCGCTATAGCCAAAAAGTGGAAGCTACCCAAGTGTCCATCAAAAGGTGAACAGATAAATAAAATGTGGTGTATACATACGATGGAAAATGATTCGGCCCTATAAAGGAAGGAAATTCTGACACATGCTACAACATGGATGAATCCTGAGGACATAAACTGTATGAATAAAACAGCCCCCAAAAGACAAACATTCTATGACTCCTCTCCTGTGAGGTCCCTAAAGTAGTTGGATTCATAGGGATGGAAGGTAGAATGGTGGTTGCCAGGGGCTGGGGGAGGGAGGATAGCTACAGAGTTTCAGTTAGGGAAGATTTTTTAAGTTCTGGGTAAGGAAATCCCTGGTGGTCCAGTGGTTAAGACTCAGTACATTCACTGCTGTGGGCCCAGGTTCAATCCCTGGTCAGGGAACTAAGATGCTGGAAGCTGTATGGTACAGCCAAAAAATTAAAAGTTCTGGGTAAATGTACAGTTCTGTGATGTCTGTTTTACTCAACATTTATTCAAAATTTAATTTTGTTTAACTTTTTTACTTTTAATCATATAAAATACTGTTTAACATAGATAAATATGAAACACATAATAGAATTATCTAAATAGTATTTCAGTCTAGTATATATAGGTAACGTGGGTGTTACGAACTAAAAATCCTGCTAAGTTATATATTTCTTACTACTAATAAACATAATAGTTACATCTTTTATTCTGTCTTTATTTATTTATTTTATTGGAGTATAGTTGATTTACAATGTGTTAGTTTCACGTGTGCAGCAGTGATTCAGTTATACATATACATATATATCTTTTTCAGATGCTTTTTCATTATAGATTATTACAAGACACTGAGTCTAGTTCCCTGTGCTATACGGTAGGTCCTTGTTGATTAGCTATTTTATATATAGTAGTGTGTATAAGTTAACCCCGAACTCCTAATTTATCCCTCCCACCCCCCATCCCCTTTGGTAACCATAAGGTTTTTTTCTATGTTTGTGAGTAATAGCAACGTGTTTTTAAAGCTCTGGAGCTGGATGGTTGAACAACGGTGTGAGTATATTTAATGCCATTAAATATACTCACTTAAAAACAGTTAAGATGGTAAATTTTATGTTATGTGTATTGTATCGCAATTAAAGATTAAAATTAATTAAATTAAACAAATCCTCTTCTGGCCCCTCTGACTAGTAAGCAAAGGTCAGACTCCTCCAGCTGCATTGAACATCCGCAGGACTGGCACCCAGTAACGACTCCTGCCCTGGGGACTACACCGACCCTCGGGGCTGCAGTACTGACAGAGTTAGTGGGAGGGGAGGTAGATAAGCCTCTGACAGCGTCGGCTTTAAGGGGAAGCCCCGCCCTGGCTCTGGCTTGCTTTCTCCTTCTCTAAATTCCACTTGGAAAACCGGAAGGGAGAGGCTCTGGGAGCTCCACAGGGCCTCTTCTCCCGGGGTCGCCGTGGGGCGACAGAGACCTCTGGGCTCACCTGCAAGCTGGTGGTAGGAGTCTCCAGGCTAACCACCTGAGGTTGTCTGGGGTCCCAGCCTCCTGCCACTTCCCCTAGCGAGTACTGGGGCCCAACAGGCTAGACTGACAACTCCTGGGGACCAAGGCAAGCACCGTCGGGGAGGAACTGAGGGCCCAGGGAGGAGCAAACTCCAGCCTGTGAAGTAAAACCTGCATGGGGAGTCACCCAGGTAAAGAGCTCTGTGGGGTCCCAGCCTGGGGTTTTTGAAGGCTGGGGAGGAGTTTCTTGGAAGAAGAGACAGAGGCCAGTGTGGCTGGACTGAGCGGAACAGGCAAGGTGGGCTGCTGGCAGGAGGAGGGGCGTGAGGTCTGGCTGAGGACTGGAGCTTTTCCCCAAATAGCCTCTGAGAGATTTCCTGTTTGTTAGCAGAGTGACAGGAACAGGCTTGTCTTTAAAGATCCCTCTCTTGAATCAGAGGAAGTAGGAAATGGAAGCAAAGAACAGGAATCAGGGACAGTGTCAGCGTCGGCCTGGACTAGGGGAAGGGAGGGAGATGCAGAGAGGGGATAATGCATTTTGGAGTTGGGATCCAGGGCCAGGGGATGAGCTGACTGCATGTGGGGGGTGAGGAGGAAAGAGGGAGCAGACAGAGCCCCAGGGTTCTGGTCTGAGCAGGTGGAGAGATGGAGCTGCCGATGCATGGACATGGGGGAGGGGGTGGGAAGAGAGTCCCAGAAGGCAGTCTGGGGCCAATTAACACTTAGACCCTTATAAGATTAGCTCAACTCTGATCTACTTTCCTAATGAAGTCACTGGGAGAAACTGCTTCCCAGGGGATTTTGAGCAAGGCTGAACATCTTACTCCAGGTGACTAAAAATTCTCTTGTTCCTAGTGAAGTGGACTGTTTATACTGGGGTTGGGCCTGGATGTCATGTTCCAGCCAGCCTCAGTCTTGGGGAGAGGCATTCAAGGACAGGAACATAAAGGCAGCAGCAAATGAGATTGTCAAGTCTACCTGGTGATGGCAGCCCTTCATCTGCCAGTCTATCCCTGGGCCACTATGTGTCCAGCCAGGGAAGCCGAGCCTGCCAAGCTGTGTGCCCCATGAAGGTGTCCGTCTCTCTGCTGCCAGCACTGTGGTGATGAGTGTGGACAGTGCAGCCTGTCTGTCTGGGTCTGTCATCCCAGCTCCAGGTCCTGCTCCCTGTATGGCTTTGTGTCACAGTGTTACCACGGCCCAGGCCAAGGCTGGAACCCCTCTCCTCGGGTCTACTCTGGAAATTAGAAGCCGTTAAGACCTTCGGAAGTTCTTGCCCATCCCTCCCTACGTGGGGGCAGTATTCTTCTGGCCTCCAGAGTGAGAACCGGCACACGTGCACACGCGCACACACACACACACACACACAGACGTGCACAGTGACATTAAACAAGGTCTTATGGGGTGGGATCAGAAGAGGAACAGACATGGGGGAGGTAACAAGAGGAGGAAAAAGGGATTGGAGGCACAGCCTACATGTGACACCACTCCCACATTTTTGAGTCCTTTTCCCATCTATACCTGAGGACATCCCGAGAAGAACATTCTAGAATCATTCCCACAGTGCAGATGGGAGACAGATAGGCCTTGAGAGACACAATGCCTTATCCAGGATGGAGAACAGGTATGAATGAGGAGACGAGTCTGGAGCCCGGGTCTGTCTCCTGAAAGCTGCCCACAGACCCCCACCCTCCGGGGTTTGTGGAGAGGGCTGCGGGTGTGACTGTGTGAGATATGGGCTTGCGTGGAGGAGAGGGTGAACAGTTCGCCACCCAGAGTGCTATGTGGAGAGCTATTGTCTGAGGAGGGGACTCAAGTAATGGGGCCCCTGGGAGTGAAGTCACTTCCTGGACCACAAACTCTAACAGAGCTTGGAAGCCTTTAACCAGGCACCCACTTTCTAGTGACAGCCCCAGCTCATAGAGAAAGATGTTCTCCTGCTGTGGCCCGACTTCCCGGGGCTTCTGCTTCAGGGAACCCTGGAGTGAGAGGTTTTTCAGATGCTGTAGACGTTGGTTCAATCCTCAAAACCAACACCTCTGGTCATTTACCAGGAGGTCACCTAAGGTAACATAAGGTGGCCTAGAGCAGGCCAGTCCAGGCCCAGCCACCTCTAGGAGCCCACCCTGAGCAGGTCCACATCCCTTCATCTCCATGTGGAGGGAGGGGGACTTGATGGGAGCGTCCCCCCTGGGCAGGAACTGGCTGGTGTACACTTGGTAACTTGGTGGTCCTGTCACGGTCACACCCGAGGACAGGGCTGGCATGGGGGAAAGAGGATTCCTGAGGTGCCAATGTGAATCCAAGGCCCTCAGCTTGTCAGCTTTTTCTCTGTCCTTGGAGGTCTGTGCAGAGTTGTAGGCGTGTGTCTGGGGTGCAGGTGTCTGGTGGGTCTGAGAACCAGCACAGACAGCTGGACAAGGCTCTGAGGCTTTCTGCCTGGCTGCTGGGCACTGATTTCTCAGGGCTCCACACGGGAGATCGGACAGGAGCCGGTCCACGGAGCCCCCTGTTCCATCTCCCTGCAGGAGGGGCAGGTGCCCCACACCAGCAAAAGAGCCCAGGGCAGGCTCAGCGTGAGGAGACTCCACACCCAGGAAGCTCCGGGTCCCAGAGCCACCCTGGTCCTCCCCTGGGCTCCGTCCTAGAGCCCTGCTCGCAGAGGAATCTGGACCCCATCTCCTCTCCCACCTGCCCTACTGCCCAGTCCCTGCTTTGTCCACCTATTTGTAGGAACCTCAGAAAGACTGATAGCATCTACTTCATGTTAAGTCAAGGGTGTTTCTGCCTTTTTCTACAGATTTTCCTGTTTAAACTCCATCCTCAGGTGTCCCTGTTTGCCTGACAACCCTGATCCCTCCCACCCTGGGATCAGCCTCTGTGTTCTCATCCCTAGAATGGCATATCTTTATAACAATCACAGGGATGATGCAGTTAATACAGGAAGGAGCTCTCAATACTGTGCTACAAACTGCCCTGAGATCCTAATACATTTAATCATTGCCCACGGCCAATTCTACTGGTGACTCCAGAACCTTTATTCTGCTGAGGGCACTCCTGCCCCATCTCCTGCCACAAGTCCCTGAGACTTGGTCTCAGCTCCAGCCCCAGCCCTCCTGGTGGTCCATGGTGCTTCCTCTGACTCGTGTCTCTGCTCCGTTCCACCCCAGGGGAAAATGTGTCCACAGGGGACAGGAATGGGACTCTCATGGTATGGAGTGTCCAGGCAGGCAGGCTGGAGAAGCTGGTGGGCAACCTGGTGCCTGCCTTCTTGGACAGCGACCCCTCTGACCTCCCCGCCTTTCTGGGCACCTACAGAGCCCTTGCAACTACCCAGCAGGTGCTGGACCTCCTGCCCCTACTGGGACACTGGTGACTCGGCCACCTGCTAGCTGTGAGATGTGGGAATGTCACTACACCTCTCTGAGCCTCATTTGCCCCTCTGCACGCTAGGGTAAAAGAGGACCAGCCCCCTAGGATGACTGTAGGGTCTAAGTGAGTCCTTCATGGAAAGTCCTTTCTGGGGACCTGGCCCCATGGAAAGGTCTGCCGGAAGGGCTGTGGTTGTGCTACATTGTCATTGTTCTCCTCCCCATGAGGGAGCCTCTGCCTCATTTGCCACTGTGCCGGTGGCCTTGGCTGAACTGTTTTCCCACTTGAATGTTGATGTGTGATTCAATTTGGAGTGAGAGCAGAGATCCCTGCGGGCGAGCAGTGGGGTCCAGCACACTCAGATATGTGTGATGGGCTCATTCATTCTTCAAATATAGAGGAAGGCCCACTGGGTGCAGGCATTTTTCTAGGAACAACTATCATTTAATGCATCGAGCAGACAGCAGCCCTTCCCTCCAGAGCTTCCATTCTCCCTGGGGTCACTGTCACACTGGCCATCACATCCAGGTGTCAGCACAGTCCATGTGACGCCTTCCTGGCTTCCTCTAGGTACCGATGCATCCTCCCTTACTCTGATGAGGACGGCGGACACCTGCACCAACTGAAAATGTGAGTGGGCTTTGATTCAAGAGGGAGGGGCTCCATTCCCCAAAGAGCTCTGTAGAGATGTAGGGTCTGTGGATGGGCAGGAGCTGGCAGAAGCCTGGATCCCATACATTGCAAGGTGGAAGGAAAGGCCAGGCCTCTGACGCTGCTGCCCACCTGACTACTCCCAGGGCCGTGTCCTCCATCCTGGGCCTCTGGCTACACCATTACCGTGAGGATTTTCACCAGCCCCCAGAATTTCCCTGCCTGAAGACGCTATTGGCTTACCTAGAGCTCAGCATGCCTGGCTCAGACCTGGAGCACCGCGCCCACCTCCTTCTGGCACAGCTGGAGCACCCGGAGCCCACTGAAGTAGAGAGTGATGGTGAGGAGGACTCAGGGCGGGTGATGGAAACCAGTGGGGAGGGGGAGTGGCTGGGCCACACAAAATAGAGGCTTCAGAGGCTAGAACTGGGCCAGGAGCAATGAGGAGGCTCAGATCACTACTCTCCTGGACTGAAGTCCTGGAAGACTTCCTGGGGGTGGCATGTTGGACTGAGACTTCATTGATTGGCCACGAGAAGTTTCTTGTCTTTGGAAAAGCAATCCTACTGATGATATTTTATCTTCTTGGAGCTACAGCACAGTCTCCAAAACAAGCTCTGGAAACACCTTGAGACCCAGAGCCACCTATACCTCTGCTGCCCGCTACAGCTCCAGAGCCAGAGCAAGCTCAAGTCACAGCTCTCATTTAAGTTCAAAGACGAATATGCCAGCTCCAATTCCACAACCAGGGCATGCTTATGCCCTAGCTCTCATTTAATCTCAAAAGGGAGAAAAAGCACCTACACAGGCTCCAATTCCTGATCCAGAGAAGGTTCCAGCAACAGGTCTCCTCCCATCTTCGCAGCCTGAATCATCACAGAAACCTGTCCTAGTGCTTCCTCTACAACTTCAGCCAGTTTCCTCAACAGCCTCAGTCCACAGCTGAAGCCACCTCAGTGAGGGCACTGCCCCTGGCTCTGGAGCCCATCGTGCTTTGGCACCAGCTGTGGCCCCGGAGTGTATCCAGCTCCAGTTCTGGATTAGAGACCACAGCAGACCCAGTTCTTCTAGTTACTCAGGTGCTAGAGCCAGTTCCTCCCTTAAGATCCCTGGAGCTGCTGCCAGCTCAGCCATTAGCGCAAGCACGTGCAGAGCCTTCAGGGCCGAATTAGGAGCTGCCCCAGTGCCTACAGCAGCACTGGAGCCTTCCTTCCCCTCTCCTCTAATTCCATTTTCTTTAATATTTGGGGGTTTTATTACAGATACTAAATTGTTTATTCTATGGTATAAAGTTCACTTAAAATTTAATTCTTTGATTATTTTAAATTGTACATGTAAGCGGCACTAAGTACATTCACAATGTTACATAACCCTCTCTAATGTCTATTCCAGAACATTACATCAAAGGGAAATGCTGTATGTATTAGTCACTCCTCATTCCCCTCACCTTCAGCGCTGGGGCGCCCCAATATTCCTTATATCTCTGGATTTATCAATCCCTGATTTTTCATATCAATAACATGTAACTTGTGGCCTGTTGTGTCCGGCCAAGTATGTATAAGGAGACTGATTAAAGTTTGATTCTGGGTTACATAAAAAATGTTAAAAATTTAAGGTGGCCACTGAGTTAAGAGGCATGACTTTGGATGTGTTTGATCCAGGGGAATTTCTGAGTGGAGCTTGTGTGAGGAGAAAGGGTTTTAACAAAACATAGCAGGTGCTCAAGGAAGCTTCAGGAAAGTCAGAGTCTCAGTCCAGGGAGCTCAGGACTGAGCACAGGCCCCACCCACCCCTCAGGCTCCTCCAGCAGTGATCCACCGCCCACCCCTGGTCCAGCCCCCAGGGCTGGCATCCCTCCCATTCAGCTTCTGCACAGGAAGGGGCTCTGTCTTTTCCCCAAAACCACACATGGGTGGGGGCATTATGGGCCACCTTGTCCATCAAAGTCAAGTCAGGGGCCCTGTTTGGGAAAAGCATCTTAGGAACTTGTTTGGAAACAAGCAATTTCTTTTTTAATTAATTAATTTATTTATTTATCTTTGCGTTGGGTCTTCGTTGTTGCGCACGGGCTTTCTCTAGTTGCAGCGAGCAGGGGCTACTCTACGTTGCAGTGCACAGGCTTCTCATTGCGGTGGCTTCTCTTGTTGCGGAGCATAGGCTCTAGGTGCACGGGCTTCAGTAGTTGTGGCACGCGGGCTAAGTAGTCGTGGCTCGCGGGCTTAGTTGCTCCGCGGCATGTGAGATCTTCCCGGACCAGGGCTCAAACCCCTGTCCCCTGCGTTGGCAGGTGGATTCTTAACCACTGTGCCACCAGGGAAGTCCACAGAGATTTTTAGAAGGTGGCTGCTCTAATCTACAGACCCTAGACTTCAGCTGCAACGCTGAACCCTACTCACCTCAGACTGGCCCCCCTCACAATCCGAATTGGCTTTGGCCAATCTATCCTGTTACTCTATGTTCTGAATGCAGTGGGTTTTGTATACTGACAGACTCCTCGGTTTGTCTCAAGTTGGAAGTCAAGGAGAGATTCTGTTAGCAACCAAGGACCTGTGTTCAGTCCTGAATGGCGGGTTTTTTCTCCAATTCCAGGGCTTGTCCCAAAACTGTGCTCCGAAGTGTATAGTTATACCACCCCTTAGATTGTCTAATTGTTGAGTATATTGTACAGTGTTAAATACATTGCACCCTTAAAGCTGTCTTATCCATTTATCTTTCAAAAATCTGAACATATGGCCAGCATATACCTGAGCTCATTTTTGGTGAAATTTAAATGTCAGTAAAATAGTATACCCATTAAAAAAAAAAGTAAAGTCAGGGGGAGTCCCACGGTCTGAGTTATTGAGTGAGTCCATGGTCAGCGACCTCTCTTTTCTCTGCCCAGAGATGGAGCCCCCCTAAAGCAGAGAACAAAAGTCCTCACAGGGAGGAAATTCTAAGCTCTCCTTTGAGGGGGAAAGACTGAAGCCCCTGATTAAACTTGGAGTAGATGAAGCAGAGATCAGAGGACCAAAGGGAAGGGCTGCCTGGGCTGAGGCTCTACTATCATGGTTAGGAGCACAGGCTCTGTGTTGGTTTGCAGGAAGTGGCCGGGAATCATCCCATCAAAGTCTCCAAATTCACCTCCAGAGAACATCTTCACTAAAGAACCCAAAACATCACTTGGTCACCTGGAGTCTGTGGAAGCTTGAGCTGCTGTCTAGCTCGTGAGCAAGGAGAAGGGTTGAGGACGGGGTGTCCCACAGAGTTCAGGGTAGTGCAGGTTGTCTGCCTTAGCAAGGAAGGCCCACTATCATTGGATGCCCATATTTCCCTAATATAGCAGAAAAACCAGAATACCACAGGCACAGGCAAGAGGGAGATTTCTTCCTTTCTCTCATGAATGTAAACTGTTCATACTGACCCTCAACTGCACACCTTGGTAGTCAGCCCATCTTTTTCTGCCCCAGCATTTTTAGCTGGTGTCCAACCTCAAGGCTGCCTGTCTTTTGGTACAAAGTGGCTGCTGGAGCACCAGCCTTGACCAGCCACCAAGTCTTCATTTCTGAGGCAGGAGGGAGGAAAATGAAGGGCGAAAGGGCCAATCCAGCTGTGTCTGCTCTATCTAAGCAGCCTCCCACAAGTCCACATAATCCTTTTGCTCACTTCTAATCTGCCTGAAGTTCATCTGGCTGCTTTCAGCTGCAAGAGAGGTTAGGAACTCAACCGTTGAGTTTGGCCAGTTTCCGCCCTCAATTAGACTATTTTTCTCTTCTTAAGGAAAATATAATGAAAACCACAAGGTGACGGCCAGGGCTTTTTCCCTACCATAAACACCAGGATGAAAGGGAAGGAGATGGAGTGATTTTCAGATGAATTAGACATTCATTTCCCCACCATGGACTCTTTCCCTGGTGTCTTTTTATTCCCAGAGAAATTAGAAACATGGTTCCTTACCAGGATATTTGAGTGGGAAAGATCCTCTCAATTCCTAGGCAGGTGATTGGATCCACTAAGTAGCTTCTTTCTGCCTGTATCTTGTAAGTAGCTCTGAGAACACCTTCTGTTCTCTAATGAGGTGGGCAGAATAGGAGGGTGGTGGAGGCTTTTGGGCAAGTGTTCCAAAGCTTGCATCAAAATTGAGTTGCTGGGACTTCCCTCATGGCACAGTGGTTAAGAATCTACCTGCCAATGCAGGGGACACAGGTTCAAGCCCCGGTCTGGGAAGATCCCACATACCACGGAGCAACTAAGCCCATGAGCCACAACTACTGAACCCATGAGCCACAACTACTGAACCCGTGTGTCACAACTACTGAAGCCTGCATGCCTAGAGCCCATGCTCCACAACAAGAGAATCCACTGCAATGAGAAGCCCATGCACCGCAATGAAGAGTAGCCCCCGCTCGCTGCAACTAGAGAAAAGCCCACACACAGCAAAGAAGACCCAACGCAGCCAAAAATAAATAAATAATAAATTAAAAAAAAAAACTGAATTGCTGTCTTCAAGGAATACACTGATTGGAAACAAGCCTTTTGACATTAAGGGCACTTGCACTGGGACTTCCCTGGTGTCACAGTGTTAAGAATCCACCTGCCAATGCAGGGGACACAGGTTCCATCCCTGGTCTGGGAAGATCCCACATGCCATGGAACAACAAAGCCCGTGCACCACAACTACTGAGCCTGTGGTCTACAGCCCACGAGCCACAACTACTGAAGCCCACGAGCCACAACTACTGAAGCCTGTGCTCCTAGAGCCCGTGCTCCACAACAGGAGAAGCTACCGCTATGAGAGGCCTGAACATCACAACGAAGAGTGGCCCTCGCTCACTGCAACTAGAGAAAGCCATGCACAGCCAAAAATAAATAAACAAATAAATTTATTTTAAAAAAAGACTTGCACTATCATGGAGAGTATTAATAGTAAAAATAATACACACCATATAAAACTCCATGTGGTCAAATGTATTATTGATTTAAGATTGATGGAAGAAAAAGATCATTTTGAAGTTTTTTGATATCAATATTTGACTCAGATCAGTTGACCAAGTACAAATAATGATCACTAAAGAAATCTTACAACGAGAGCACTTATAGTCAGTCATTAAGATGTGATGTGAACAAAAAACCTGTCGTTTATTTTTTTTAAAATTGATCCCAACTAAAACACTTTTAGTTAATTGAAAATAAACATAGATAAACTATAAATAATTTACTGTGCTGTATTCTCAAAACAGTATCAAAACAATTAAAATGTCTGTTTGAAATTTTCCCTATAAAATACT